ATTATATTTATTATTATTTTTTTTAAGTACCTCATAATTTTATTAAGTTACTATTAAAACTTAAATCTCAACTTGCATATATATATTTATATTACTTACAAAATAACACCATCTTTTTTTCTAAAAACAGCAAACCCCACATTATTTTTATCAATCTGTACAATATAATCTCTCATAATAGATTTATTTAAATTTTTTTTAATAATTGTTACTTTTGGGATTGCAGGTTCATATCAATCATTATTGGCATCAAAAATCGTTTAAAAAATATTAAATTAAAAACTATTAATATTTTAAATTTACTTCATAAAATTTTATAATAATCAGTATTTTAAATAATTTTTTATTGTTAAAAAAATTATTTTTTATATTAAATTTGATTACTTTACTCGTAATTTTTGTGTAGTATGAAAAGATATATCCAAACATAACACTTTTATATTATTTATACAAGATGTACTTGACTTTAAGTTATAGTATGCTATCAGTCTATTACTTGATTCTGTTACATTTACTACTTTATAGTTGCTATAGTCGATTGGATAATAGCACAATGGTACTTTATAATCAGTATTTTTTTTTGGAGACCAACAGCAATTTTTCTGTTCACAACTGTACCTCGAGGAAAACAGTCAAATTTTAAATTATCTGATGTTACAGTACATATATTTTGCTTAATTCTGTTAAATAAATAGTTAATGCTTGACATAAAAGAATTAACTTTAAAGTCATTTAAATTAGTGTTACTTTTCTGAAAATGTATATATATATATTAATAATATGGTAACAGCCAACAGTATTAATAATCTTTTGAAACATTTAATAAATGATTAATAAATCATTTTACAAGTTACATCAAAATTATAAAATTTTACTAATCTGTAAGCCACAAACATTTAAATATTATTTAGTGTACGGAAACAATATTGATTATTAAGAATAAATATTGGGCTTTATTACCATTTTAAAGCTTTAAAATGTTATTAGCCTGTTCGCGCCATTGGATGTTAGATAATAATTGATGATAACAAACCAATACTAAAACCACAGACTATATGAAAACAGATAGTTCACTTGGCCCGATAACAAAACGGTTTTTTGATTGGAGAAGTGAAATCAGTGCAACCATATGTATGAGCGCAAAAATTCTTTTAATTTATTTCATTATTAAATCTGCTGTAGCATAAATATTATGAAATTCCGTATATAAACATAATTATTGACATAAATTATTTTAATACATCATTAAATTAAGGTATTAAACCCATAATCCCTTATTTATGACTCAAAATCCCTAAATTAGTCATGAAAATTAAATAATTATCAGTTTTTATAATGTAAATTATTAACTACTTAAATTTGACTTGAGCAGTAACAATTGTTATTGTTAATGTTGTCAATGATCACATGTATCTTATTTCGTGTTATATTTGGTGCTTTCTTTCAAAATATCTCACTACCTCACCAGTATGCGATGCTCAGTAAAGTTTTGTCCAAGTACATATTCCTTCAAGGATAAAAGCTTTTTTTCTTATCCTAAAGAAAACGATCGTTTGAAACTATGGATGAATAATTGTCAAACTAATCATTTGGCAGAGACTTTATCCAAAAAAAAATAATCTAGTAGTTTGCGCGGATCATTTTGACGATAAAATGTTTTTGAAAAAGACTACAAAAAATCGGCTGGTCATGATGCAGTACCTACAATATTTAGTGGTCAGTATTTTTTATCTTCGATGCAAAGCTGAGAAGGTATTAATTTTACTATGATGTGTGTTTCTTTAATTTATTTATTTTTTGTGTGTCTGTTACCTTGTTTTTTTCAGCTCTCACCGAACCGATTTCTTTCAATGATACGTCAAAAGATCACAAATCGTATCTAGTCGAAGACATTATCCTCAAAAATTGAAAAAATTTTCCTCATTCACCGTAAATGGGGGAAACCTCCAGAAAAATTACAAATTTAAAAATCTCTAATTTTCGAAATTTTTTCAATTTTTTTTACTAAAAACTGACCGTTACCACTCATCTTCAGCTCTTACCAAACCGATTTCTTTCAACGATACGTCAAAAGATCACAAATCGTATCTAGTCGAAGACGTTACCCTCAAAAATTGAAAAATTTTCCTTCATTCCTCATAAGTGGGAGATATCTCCAAAATAATTACAATTTTAAAAATCAGTAATTTTTGACATTTTTTTCTTAACACTACCATAACTTTTTCAAAAATGAAAATTTTATATAAATATTTGATGTCTTTACCTATTATTTGGTATATTTTTTTTATAAATTTAACCCTTTACCAGCCCACAGTGGGGAATTCAAAATGACAACTTTTTCACAAAAAATTAACTTTTTCAACTTAACTTTTGAAAGTGTTCCGGAAATACTGACGCTTTTATATATATATTAAATTAAAGCTAATGTAATATACTTTATTTTGGGGAAAAAAAATTTCGGACTTTATTTTGTCTTCACGGTGAAAATGGCTACAATTTGGCCAAAAATGGCTAACAATAATAATAATAATAAAAATATAAAATTTATTATATAATTTATATTATTATTTATTATATCTAAAATAATTCAAATTTTATAAAAAATATAATACTATTAACAGTTTTACCAAAAATTACAGCTTCATATATTATAGGTAAAACTAACTAAACGTTGACAAAAAATTTATGAAATAATAAACTACACAAAATGTCAACTTTTATACAAATTAAACACAATATTCATAATGTCAGACAATATTAAAAAAAAAAACATTTTTATTAAGACTAAACGTTATTTAAACAAAATAAGTATGCGAACAGTTATAATTAATTATCGTTCAAGTATTTAAAATGCAATAGTGTCACTAATTCCAATATCATTGATAATTTTTGTAACTGATAGAGGAATTGTACAATATTATTGTAAAATATTTGCACAATAATATGAAATTGTACAACAGTCTCTACTGCTTTATCTTCTGCCCAATCAGAGAGCTTAATTTTTTTTTCTATTGTTCTCGGCTAAGTGAACTATCTGTTTTCATATAGTCTGTGCCTAAACTTAGCTTGGTGATAAACTTTGTACAGCTAATAACAAAACATGTATTTAATAATAACTTTTTATATTGACGGATAAATTTCGTAGTTACAGTAGGCAATGAAAACGAATAATAATATTATTTAATATATTGCTACTGACTGATCATTATCAGTGCAATTATGTCCAATTCGCCGGTCTTCGATAAGTGAAGGAAACTTGGGTTTTGTTAAGTAGGCGAATTATAAAACCTAAATCGGTTGGTGTAGTACCATTTTGATCTGGTTGATATCCAGATCAGTACGATGGTAATACTATAGTGTGTCATAAGTTTCGCCACATAGGATAATAAATTTATACAATTTGCTTGTATTACTAGTAGAATTATATCAATTTTTTTTTCATAAAAAAAATTTAATGAGAAATTAAACCTTTTAAATTACGGTTATTAAATTTTCAAAAAACTGACAACAAATTATTGGTGTTTTACATTTCTCATAACAACTATACAGTGTGATTAATAAGAAATCTATCCCAGATTTTTTTTGTTTAATAATGATTTTTTCATAAAAACAAATATATCTTAATAATTAAAGTAAAAAAAGTGAATAAAATATCAAAAATTGTCTTTGTTATGAATTGGAATTTATTTGAAGATTACCCCTAATTGAAGGAATTGGGGAAAATTTTTATTAAATATCGCGTTAATAGATTTGATATAGTAGATACGATTTGTACTTTTGATGTATAACTTAGTGAAAACAATCAAATAAATGACGAGTAAAATGGAAGAGTTAAAACTAAAATGTTTTATTAAATTAAGTTACCCTACAGTTATTAAAATTATAGGAAATACAAAACGACATATAGTCAACATTTTTTGTACTATATAACGAATTGTAATCTTATTTTTTTGAAAATTATTTATTATGTAATTTTAAATTATATCTCTGTGGTGCAGGAAACCATAAGAATAAATTGGGACAGCTAGCCCTTCCAATTTTAAAAATAATCTCTCCAAAATTTAGGAAAAATAACATGAATAATTTGATGGCAACAAATTTGATTGATCGATGATAATTTTAGGACAAGTACTCATCAAGTTTTTAGCATTTTAATATATGGAGTGGTTAGTAGTAAAAGTCGAAAATTGAGTGGGGGTATAGAACGAGGATGGAGTATATCGTCGGCTAAATTGAAAACTTCGTATCCATTTTTATCAAACTTTACAGATGAAGCGAAAAACTGTGAGATGCATTAATTTTCATGAATAGTTCACAATTTTTTAATTTACTATTTGTATATTTTATTATATTAGAGATAAGAAATTGAAGTTTTAATTAAATTGATTGGTAAATTTGACTTACGGGCTTTTGATTATATAATATTTATCTGTGTAATATACATCTGTGATTATTTAACATTATAATATTGAATATTTTATAAAATGTTTGCTCATATGATACAAAAATATATTTTTTTAAATATAGTGTACCTATTAAACCAAACAAAAATAATCTGTAAAAAAAACTGATTAAAAAAGTAATGCAAATTATTTACTGCAATAAGTTATTTAAGATATTAAAACCAGGTTGAATATTCTGTATAAAAAAAAAATTAGAAAGGGAAAAGTTATATATAAATAGCTCCTTCAAAATTTTGTTATAATTGTGATAATGGAAAAAAATATAATTAGCTTCCCAATTTTTTTTAACTTACCCTATCTTTTTGTCTAAATTATAATACCAAACACAGAAGTACTCAGGAGAAGAAAAGGGAGAGTTCTTCTTTTTTTGTTTTTAAATAATAATTCAGAAGTTATTTATATATTTAAATTAAAATAGATTCATCATATGAAAATATAGATTGAAATGGTATATTCTTACTATTACAATCAATTTTAATTGACTACGAGAGTAGCGGTATTCATTAATCTCTTCTGAATAACTTATCAGTAATTTGTCTTATCATTAAGTTTCCGAAATCAGAAATGTGCTTATTGAAATTTTAAAATTAAAAAATTAATTGAATTGATTAATATCTACATTTAAATTTTTATCGATCAATTAGTGAAGCCTTTTATAATTTTAATTATTTTTAACATGCAAAATTTTTGTCGCACTGAATTTTTGTTCAGTAATTTATTAAGCAAAGCTATAAATCAACAGCCAGTTAGGTATACTCGTAAGCCTCGATGGGTAAAAAAAGCCCCAAGTAAAATATTTAAAATACCTAAACGACCTCAAATAACTGAAGAAGAAAGGAATGAATTATTTAATCTTTTCACAACTTATAGGACTTGTATGAAGTCAATACAGTAATTATCATCAGTGTTTTATTTATATCTATTTTTATGAAGTATGCTGCCATATGAAATTTTAATTTTTTTAATTATTGTTAAAAATTAAACAATATTATTGTTTAACAATTAAAAATTGTTTTTAATAAAATATTGATTAATGATGATCAAACATTTTCATGGCAACTTGTCCAATGAATTTATGTTGTGTCTTTACGCATTAGTTACTATACCTCTAATACATTAAATTTTATGCTATTTCAGAAAGCAGCTAGAAGAAGAATTAGAAAAGTCGGACATTGGTAATGAAGTATTACAAGAGTTAGCAAGAAAAGAAGAAGAACAATGGAAAAAGTGCTTACAAATAAATGAAAAATGGAATACTCAAATAGCTTTAGCAAGAGATGAAAGATTAGTAAAAGAAAAAGAAATTTTAAGGAATGACATTTTAAAACATTTAATGGAAAATGAAGAAGAACAAATAAAAAAACTGAAGGAGATTGAGGAAATTGTTCGATTAGAAAAGGTAAATCATATCAATAATTTAATAAAAATACATAAAATAACTTCTTAAAGTAATCTATAATAATACTTATTTTTTTATTTTAGGAGAAATCCAAGACTTATATTACTGTTCATAACATTGATGATGCAATTAATAATACTTTAGATAATATTGTAGACCATAATTATGCCATAGATCTAAATGGTAATATTCACCGAGGCAATATTAGTAAGAATATTTCAGCTACAGAACACAGTAAAAAAAATACTCATGTTCAATCAATTAACAGTTAAATATAGCGTTTTTTCTTTCATTTTAGTGTTTATATAATAATATTATAAAAACTTGAATATAAAGCAAGTCATCATCTAGTTTCTTGAATAAATCTTCTTGCTATAATAATAGTAATGATTGTGTATCTCATTTATTATTTTGAAGACCATTGAGTTTCTTTTAAAAATGTATTTTTTTAATAATAATTCTGACACCCAATACAAGTAGAAGAATAAAGCCACCCATGTACTATACTAGAGCCCTACACTTAAAAATGGTTTCATGAGCATAAATAAAAAGCAAAAAAAAGATGTTTTTTAGTAATTATAAAATGAAAAGGGGACCATAAAAAAATGTTTTGCATCAAGCCCCACAATATCTAATGCCAGCACTGCTCACAACCTATATTGATAGACAATATATTTATATTTATAGATAATGTTTATCACAAGCGTAAAACTACTAAAAACTGTATGTGTAAAAAGTGAAATGTTTATATCAAATAATATTTAGCTTAAGAGTTTTACTGTTTAAACAATAAAACAAACTAGAAGAAATAATAAATAATATTGAATTAAGTTAATTTAATTGAAAAAAATTACCAATGCTACCTAAAAACACTTGAATGTAATAAATAATAAGTACATATATTTTTAAAACTAAATGAATAAATTATAAGACCTGTGCTCAAGAGGAATAATAGTAAGGGGGAAGTTGACAGAAATATTTTGGCAATTGAGGATATTAATATTAATATGTCTTGCAATGCAAAAAAGTCAATTATAGAGATTCTTTTGATTGAGAGAAAAGAAAGGGCAACTTTTAATTAACTTACACTCTTTTATGCCCTGATACAGTGGCGGCGCGAGGTAAAATTTATATGTGGGCGAAGTAGACTTAAAGAGGCCCTTTTTTTTAATTTTTTTAATAAACATTTAAGTAACAATAGTTATTTAATAAATATTAAGATTTACAATTTTTTAAAACAATAATCTAATTATTAACCTTTTATTTGCAAAGTAGTCAATATAATTTTATTTATACATAATTATAAAATTAAATACATATTTTTTTAAATTAATAATACTGTTAGAATTTTTGTATAGATACTTCTCCCATATTTTTCTATGGTTAATTATAAGTCCCTTTGGAACGTGAGGCCCTTTGAGGTGCGAGGCTGTGGGCAATGGCCCACTTCGCCCACGCCTAGTGCCGCCACTGCCCTGATATAGTGATAAAACTTTTATTTAATATTCAGTGAAAATAGAAAAAAAACTTATTGTAAAAAATATTTCTTTCTAAATCTATATTAAAGTTTAAAAATACATACAATATTTAATATTTTAATTACAATATACTTGAAAATTTACACAAAAAACAAATAAATTTGTCTTTAAGTTTTACATTTATTCTTACACTCACAATGATAGAAAAGTATTTAAATATTTGATCCTTTTAATGTTATGAAGAAGATAATGGATATTTTACTGGTCTTAAGAATGGATTATCAATAGGTTCTTCCTGCTTTATTTCAGACTCATCTATATTATTTTCTTCATCTTCTTCATTTTCTTGATCATCATTCTCATCAAAATCTTCTTTAATTTTAACATCTTTTTTTATTTTTATATCTTTATTATTTCTTAAAATTTCCGAGTCATCAGATTCATCATCAAATACTTGATCACTTGGTAAGAGAGCTGATAAGTATGCTGGCTGGACTGGTTTATTTGCTATTACTAAAATATTTTTATAAAATAAAAGGGTGAATTACAAATAAAAATAAGAGTATTTTATACAGAAATGCTGGCTTTATATACAATTTAGCAGAGTAATGATACTTGGTGCTAAAATTAAAAAAGATGATAAAAAATACACAAAAAAATTATTGGTATAGTAATGAAGGTATAAAAATTTTGATATTTTAATGTATCAATATAAGTAATGAAAAATTTCTATTAAATTTGTATAAAATTCAGAAAAAATTATATTGATATAGATAGTTAATCATTTTCTTACTATATCAATAATTAAATAACGTATTCAACAACTAGTATTTTTTAAACTACTTTTAAATAAATAAACAATTCATTTATTTACTGATTTTTTCTTTTTTGACCATTAAGCTGAATAATACAATCAACTAAATTTTAAGGGTAACATTTCATAATCATGCTTTCTAATTACAGAGCAATACAAAAAATATTTTGTATTTATTCATAAATTTTATGTAAACAAAATATTAAAAATTTATAAAAGGAATCCAATAAACTTTTTATTAAATTCAGTAAAACTCACAAGGAAAACAGTCATTTTCTTGATTTAAAAACAAACTTTCAGTAGGACCAGTTTTAATAAGGAATTTCACTAATGATTTTTCCAATTCATGTTTTTGAATAGCAGATTTTTCCCGTATGGCTTCATATTCAGTAACTGGTTGTTTATGAGTCTATAAATAAATTATTATAAAATTAAAGAAAATAAAAATCAAAGGTTTGAAGTAACAAAATGCTAATGTACAGATTCTCTAAAAATGACTATTTTTATTAACTTTTAGCACCGCTCATACTAAAGTAACTATGGTAAATTAAAAGAAATATTATAGTTCAAAAAATTATATTTATCATTGTAATACTAATTTTAAACTAGAAAAATTTTAATTGACCCTATTATCCCACATTTTTAATTTCAACATCAAACTCTAAACATTTTTTACTTATAATAATTTACTAAAACATACTTGTTTAATACATATTTATTACATTATCATAAAAATATAAATAAACATTTGATTACTTACTGGTGTTCTAATATAAGCATGGGGATCAGGAAAAGGGGGCATGTGACTAGGAATATAAGATGGATGAGGTAACTTTGATCCAGCTTGTAAGTTACTAGTAATTCGTGGTTGTACGGAAGGTGTAGGACTTGGAAGAACAGCTCGATTAGAGCGTTTAGCATAGTTAAGAAGACTGGACGCATTTTTAAAAATGCCCATATCAATTAAACCCATCATTACATCAGCACCCAATGGTTCAAGACGACCGGCAACTTCAGCATAACGATGACTACTAGTACCAACTTGGGTTAATACTAAAAAAAATATTTTATTAACACTACAAGTAATTAAGACATATATAACATAACATAATATTGAAAAATATGACTTAGTTCTGTTTCTTTACTATGGTAAAATAGACATTCAGTTTAATAATATTATAATAGCATCTCTTACTTAATATTATTAAACACATATCAAGAATTCCACTTCATAGGACCTTAAATAAATGTTTCTATTTGAATGCTAATTAATACTTTTTCCGCCCATAAAAATTTTACTATTTTATTATTTTTACACCACAGAAGAGAATATTTCTAGAATTTACAATTGTTCCTAGCATAGGTGCAAGAATATTTTAAATATCCACTCAAAATAAACTACAATTGCGAAACAATTTAACTGGAGTCAAAGTCACTTTTAAAGTAATATATAAGTTTTAATTGAACTCATAAAAATTTGTTTGCTATTTATTTTAATTGAAAAATTTACTAACAACTGAATAATATTTCAACAAGTGTTTCTAATACTATTGGCTCAGCAACATGAAAACCAGTTTCTAATAGTATTCCAGCTATAGTTGTTTTCAAAAACTTTTTTTCCATACTTTTATCCATAATTATTTTTTATAAATAATTAAAAGTAGAAAATACAATATTTTATATTAATATTAGACATGAAACAAAATATTCTACGAAACTATAACAATTTTGTTGACAGTTGAATAAATACTGATAAACTGATAAAGAGGCTGTCATAAAAAAATAGTAGACAACAGTTCCACGAATACTCATTTTGGCTTAAAATGTGTTGGTATTAATAAGCACGTGGCTATGATAACAATGTTTTCAATTCTGATTAGTGATTATAGTTTTTAGTAGAACTATATATATATGTTTAAATCATTGTAATTAATCAGAGAACTTACTTGAATATTTAGTATTCTGTTATTTTTTAATGTAGATTATTAACTATAAATTACATTTATGGAATATTTCAAAAGTGGTTTAAAATCTGTGCTAGGCTCACCAGTAGTTGATGAGCAACCATCTGGTGCTGATATTGTATGTATATTTTTTAATTTATGTTTAAACGATTTTTTATTTTAAAACACTTAATATTATATTTATTATCCAGGTTGAAAGATTAGTCGAACGAGTTCAGTACTCTACATTGTTAGCTGATAGACGTGATGCATGTAGAGCACTTAAAGCTTTATCTAGAAAGTATCGTATTGAAGTAGGAGCTAAAGGAATGGATATTTTATGTCAAGTTTTACAACAAGACCGTGCAGATGCTGAGATTATTAGTTACGTTTTAGACACATTAAAAATCATTATGAATAATGAAATATATGATGAAGAAGGTGAATAATTGTTTATGTTTATTTTATTTTTTTATTGCATAGTTTTATATTTTTTGAATGCATACAGAGTTTATATTTTGTCTTTATAGAAATACCAGATGTTACGGCAAAAGATTCTGATAAATTAGGTGAACGTTTTACTGAGATTTTTATAAAAAAACAAGAAAATGTTGCATTAATTCTTGATTATTTAGAAGAATTTGATTTTCAAATTCGCTGGCCAGCACTACAATTATTATTATTATTACTAACCAATAAGTAAGTTGAATTTAAATTTAAATATGCATTTGGATAACACCTATGTTATTACCATAGCAACTTCTAATGAATGAAGAAACCTTCTTCCCATAAAAGTAAACTCCTTGATGGATTTATCCAAATTTTGTTGTAATGTGTGTTAGGTACCACCTAATATTTGATTCATCCACACTATCCTTCCGATAATTATTATGTTATTTAATTTCAATATAATAATATACACATAATCAAATGCGTATGAAATATCATACAAATAACTTAGAATTAAGGTTAAATAAATCTGACTTTTCTTTTAAATTAAGCTCGTTTTATATTTAGAAGAAAATATTTACTCAGAAGATTAAAATATATTTTTAATATTTTGTACAATTAACAAATTATAATTTGGTTATGTAGAGCAAAAGATGTACAAGAAATTATTTTGATCAGTCCAATGGGTGTTTCCAAATTAATTGATATGTTAAGTGACAGTCGAGAAGTAATTAGAAATAATGTAAGGATTGGTTTTTATTTTATCATAGTATCCTATATTTATGTTAATTACAAAACAACTCATTATAGTGGTAGTCTAACATATTTGAAACAATTTCAGAATATAACAATCTGAAATTACAATATTTTGTAATGTTTAAAACAACAATTATAAAAAAGGTTATTATGTAATTGAGTAATAAATTATTTCTCATAAATACTCATTTCAGTTATAATTGAACTCTCTAGATTTTAACTAACAAAAATATAAAAAGAACCTTTAAAGTCTTGTGTTGATTTTTTTTAAATTTTAAAATCATTTTTTTTAATTGGAAATTATAGTGTAGGATTCTACAAATTTATGAAAAGAAAAAAAATGATTTTGTTTTATATTTTGAAAGATATAGTGTAACTTATACTTAGGCAAAAATCTAGATTTCTAGATCATCTAGACACAGTCTATCCACTAATTTTGTCATGTTATATTCTTAATAACTGATAAATGAAAACTTGAATTTTATATTGTTAAATAGAAAACAATATTTGTTTTTGAAATTAAATTATTTATTCAATTGGCCTACTTTCTGATATTATAAACTTGCATAATCTTTGTTGTTAGTCACCTATCATTGTACTACAACTTTAAAAAAATTTTCTACCTCTTTAGACTGCCTAATGNTAACTGATAAATGAAAACTTGAATTTTATATTGTTAAATTATTGTTAAATTATTCATAAAATTTTTTAGAGATATAAGAATCTCTCAATAAAACAACACTGATAGACAAAATAATTAATGTAGGAGATTTTTTATAACTTACGAGGAAGAATTAATAATTTTAACTTTTCCATTTTTGAACATATTTTGAAAATGTGTTTTTGATAAGTCAAAAACAAAAGTAAGATATTTCATTATTTAAAAAGTTTTTTGTGTTTTTAGGTATTCTAGGAATAATTTTTTGAGTTTAAAGAGAATTACTAAAATACCACTTATCTCAAAATTTGACAAAATGAGTTTATTGTCAATAATAATATAATTAGTGTTTCCTGGATATTTTTATAATAATTTTTTTTGTAATACTTGTAGTTCTATTGTATGTTATAAAAGTAAAATCATCTCTTGTATTAAAACATGTACAGAGTGTCCCATAAAGTGTGCAACTTTTAAACCTGACATTATTCTTGAAAATTTTTTTAATTTTCTGTACCTACTATGATTTTGTTTTAATATACTATTATTTAGTTACTAAAATCATAGTTAGAAGAGTGTTGTCAGTGGCAGTTTCTCTTCTCAAAATAATGAAGTCAAAAAATCATTATCATATTTTATACTTATTGTACTAATATTGTATAGATAGCATAACTCAAATAAAGAAAAAAAAATTAGTTTAAATTAGAATAATTAATTTTCATAGACCAATTCACAAAATCATATATTTTTATCACATAAATATATAATCAAAATTACAAAACTTAAGGTGACAGAATAAAAACTATATACTATTCTGACAAAAAAAATTTGTAGACCAAGGGACAATTTTTTGATTGAAAGAAAGTTTAAAATGACTAATATTGTTGAAAATGTGAAACCACTGAGATCACATTACACTCAATGAAACAATAAAAGTTATTGTGCAGCAAAATATATAAGTCCACAAAAATTAATTCGTCTGTGATCACAACAGTTAGGCATTCTGCACTTAAAGAATATGATGAGTATGACTTTGTTTAGATAATATCAACATTTGATTGCTATGATTTTAGCATGATGAAATAACATGCCTCATTATCCATGAAACTGTTGCCTTATTTCAAGAAAATTTTCCAAAACAGCTGATCAAGAATGTCAAATTTTGTTACTTTTCACCTTGTGACTTTTTTTTCATTAGAATTTTTATAGGAACAGCTATGTATAAAAAAACAAAATCAATTGAAAAATTTAATTTAGAAATTATAGGTCATTATTTTAAAAATGCAGTCTAATTTGTGCAAGAAAGTTAATAATTTGTTGGCAACATGCAACACATACTGGCTAAGTGGAAAAGATCATACACCTGATATTATTTTTCATCATTAAACGTAAATAGTTGCTGATTATAAAATTATATAAATAAATAGATTTAAAATAAACTTTATTAATTTAGTTGTTATTTAAATTGCGCAATTGATGGGACACCTTGTGTAATTCAAATTTGTTTTATGAAAATCTTCAAAATACATATTGTTACAGTGTAAAAGATAAAATACATATTATTATTATAATTCATTTTATGTTAAAAAGTTTTATATATCAATAATTTAAGCTTAAAACTTGTTTAGATTCATATTTTTTCATTGTAAATTTGTTAATAATGGTGTAATATTTTAGTCTGTTTTATTATTAACACTACTCACCAAAAGTAATGCAAATATCCAGAAAATATTAGCTTTTGAAAATGCTTTTGATCGTCTCTTTGATGTCATAAATGAAGAAGGCAATGCTGAAGGAGGAATTGTCGTTCAAGATTGTCTAAATTTTATGTTATCCTTATTAAGAAATAATATTTCAACTCAAAATTTTTTCAAAGAAGGTATAATTATTTAAATATATTTATTAATTTAATAATTTGTTCAATCATATTGTTTAGGTAACTATATTTCACGAATTCTTCCTCTTTTAAAATTACCAATTGATGATGAATGGCCATTACAAAGAGTTAACAATGTACATGCTGTACTACAAATAATACGAACACTTATATCCCCCACTAATCCTGCTCAAGCAACTACATGTTGCCAACAAGCAATGCTTACTTCAGGAATTATGAAAGCCATGTGTGACTTAATAATAACAAATGGTGTGCCTAAAAATCCACTGACCGAAGCGATAAATACTGTGGCTGAGCTTATACGAGGACACATAGAAAACCAGCAGTATTTTGAAGCTGTTAAGTCTACTGGTGTATCCTCAAAGTAACAATAATAGTGACTTTATTTTTATCACAAGAACTTTTAATAATTTATTTATTTTTAGGGAAGTTTTGGTTTTATTGTTATGGTCTATGTTAAATGATAAACAACCATTTGATATGCGCTGTGCAGTTCTTTATTGTTTCCAATGTTACTTGTATAAAAATGAAATTGGCAAAATGAAAATTGTAAAGAAACTTTTGCCAACTGAAAAAGAAGGTAAAATGAATTAAATATACAATAAAAAAAAAAGCCATAAAACAAAGGAAAGTATAAAATGAAGAGAGTTGTAACTCATTATATTAATTTTTTTTATGCATATATTAAGTATTTATGTTAATTATTTAGTGGTAGACAAAAGAAATTTTCAAAATATACTTAGATGAATAAATTACTGCCCATTTTTACTCCCTTCTACTAAATTAATTTTTATAACAAATTGAGCAAAATATTCAGAGAATTCTATAATACCAAACATAAATACGAGTAAGTGTTAGATCCTTTTTCTATAATAAGAAATTATTATACAGAGCCACAATTGAACAAATTGAACACAATTTGTAAATTTTAAGTGAAGTGTATATTTTATTCATCAATTTCCTAATTTTAAAATAAATATAACAACTATCATCTTCTTATGGAAATACCCACGCATGAAAAACTCAATTAACTGATACTTCCTGATATTTGTCACTATAATCAATTGTTACTCAGATCTTACCTTCCTTTTTAAAACAAAAAAAAGTCATTCAAAGTAAATTTAAGTCTTGAAAAAATAGAAAAATATTAATGATTGTTTTTATTAGATATTTATACACCTTATAGTTAAACTTTATTGTAGCCAAAAAGTGTAATTTTGAAATTACAACTTGATCATTTTTGTTTATTGTAACATTTCTGTCAACCAGCTATTTGATCAACTGATATTATCCTGGTTTCAATAATGATGGTATTTGAAAATCTAATATACTTACAATTCACCAAGGTATTCTCATTATTACTATGGACTAGTACTATAATAGCTAGATCTCTCTATATTAAATAACATAAATTTTATTCCTTTTTTTAAACATAAAAACTTATGTGTGTGGAGTAGTTTTTGTTAGTTATACTTCATTATTCTATTCACTCTTAATAAAATATAAATATATAAAAAATTTGAGTATTAAGAGAAATATTTTTTTAAAACTTTCATTAAAATTTGTGTTTAAAATTTTTCAAAAAATGTAAACTCATGGTTATCAAAAAATTATTTAGTGTTCAATAATATTTTTATTTATAGTATCAGAAACTTGTGCCAGTCAACTTTTATGTCAAGGTTTGTTTTGCAAAGAACCACTTGGGGTTTGGTTTTCATCAGTTGCATTATCACATGCTCTTATTGATAATCCTGATGGAAAAGAGAAATTAATTAATGTTATGTTAGCATCAAAAGATCAAAATCCACCTACTTTGTTACAAAAAATTATTAGTTCTATTCAAGCGGTTAGTTTTTTTTAATTTATACTGATTTTGATGATATTTTTGTATGTTTAACTCACAAAACTATATGAATTCATTATTGCTTACTTTTTTTAGACTGACAAAGCACAAAGTAAAATTGGATATCTAATGTTTTTATCAACTTGGTTTTCACATTGTTCTTTGGCAGTTGAGAGTTTCTTAAAAATTAGTAATGGTGTTCCATATTTTATCACTCAAGTGAGCTTATTAGTTGTATATTTTATGATATTTAAATTTCTTTAAAATTTTAATAATACTTTAAGCGATACAGACAGTGCTGGATATACCAGGAATGTTTTGCACCACTGCCTAAAGATTTTTGGGTTTTTCGGGAACCTCACATTTTTAGCGTGTTAAAAAAATTATATATGTGCTATACATTACCTTAATTTTTTTTTTTTTTAATTAGCCCTCATTTTATTTTTGTTATGACGCTAAGAAGTTACTAATTTTACTGTATGTTTTAACACATATTTTTTTTACATATGTATGCTAAGTTTTTGTTTTATAAATTGATCATTAAATAATAAAAAAAACTAGAAAAAAAAATTATTTTAATACATATTGTTAAGGGCTAATTCATATAAATTTTTAGATTCCTTTTAGTTTTCACTTACCCATCAAAACATCTAAACATCTATGATCTAAACGCACAGTTAAATTCTATCAATATTAGTGTATTTTTATATAATACAATTCACCCAGTTTTTATAATCCCTGTATCATTGTATCTATGTTTCCTCATAAGATAGGATTTTGAAATTTCAAACAAAAATTAGACTCTAGTAGCTTAGAACACTGTAAAAAATTACCCCTTAATGTTAAGCCATTTCAAAATGATACGATCACATTTGCATGTGCCCATATCTCTATCTCCCATAACATTGNAGAACACTGTAAAAAATTACCCCTTAATGTTAAGCCATTTCAAAATGATACGATCACATTTGCATGTGCCCATATCTCTATCTTCCATAACATCGTTGTACCGTTTAATAGATATATATATATATATAATTAACACAGTGACATACAACAATACTAACAGGAGAGCGGACTGCACACAAACACTTTTTGCAGTTCACAGCCAATGTGCCATAATAAGATATCCCTACGACAGTAGGGATATCTTACCATCTTCGCGATCACTACTTTTATCTGATAATTAACTTAACTTCGCTACCCCGTATATTATAGTGTGTGTGTGTGTGTCATCGTCAGCTCCCTGTTGGATTATAACATCTCTAGGTGTCCAGCAGGTTGTATTATCTATTTAATATTTCAATTGCTTAATAAATATTTATTTATATCGTTGTTAACCTAAAGTGTTATATATATATATATTGTAGTGCGACCCTTGGTAGTTCCTCTAAGGGAATATAAATTAAATAGGAAACTTCAGTACCTAAGGTAGATATAGCCTAGCCAGCTATTCCCCGTTGGTCCCATAGAATACTGTCGACGGGCATTTAGGCTAAACCCCTAAATAGTGACGTAACAAAAATAAAATAGTTTTTATCATATATATGTAAAAACGTCAAATTGGCACAAAGGTCTTATAGTTTAAATAAATTGAAAAATCTGACACATTAATTTTAACAACCATATGTTTATCAGAAGACTATAAGTTTACTATAACAGACATGTATAATTTAAGTATAGCTTATTGGATACAGATATACAGCTTCATCAGACCCTTTCTTTGTACACCATTTTTTTGGGATATAGTCATATTTTTCAACTTGAATACAACAAGAAAATATTTATTATAAAAGATAAATACTTCTTTTTTTAAAAATATAATTCAATTTCAAGAGTCAAACTCAAAACAGCCAAATAATTGTGTCATTAAAATTAAGATAAAAAGAACTAAACTTTATTGTAATAAAAATATACAGGCTAATCGTTTGGAAAATGAAGAAATTGAAGAAATTGTAAGTGGCTTAAGTACATTTATAATGGGTTTATGTTTAGCTTTCAATCCAGATACAGTTGACAACTTTAAAAAAGTAAAATAATAATTTTCATATGAATATTTTTTTTGATAACAGTACATTTAAATAATTTATTAAGTATATTAATTTTTTCAGGATAGCCTTAGACATTTAATAACTAAACGAATCGGTGTAGAAACTTTTATAGAAAAACTAGGAGATGTTTCTAGAAATGAATCTTACACTAAAGCAAGCAAGCATCCACAACCAACTGCTCATAATCCTCTTAATCTATTATTAGATTATGAGTTTTGTAAGTTATTTAAAATTTTAGAAGGTTAGTAAATATTAATTTATGAATGTAATTTCTTTGTATATTAATCATAAAAATGTTAAAACATTTTTTATACTAAGGAATGGTAATGAGAACACTAAATACACAACCTGGACAAGATGACCAAGAAAAATTGGCTTCAAGCACAAAACAAATTGAAGAGCTTCAAAATACAGTGGATTCTCTTAAAAATGAATTGACTGAAAAAACCAATAGAATTGAGGAATTATGCAGATTAGCTAATGATTTTAAAGATGATTCAGAGCGATTAAAAACTGAAGTGAGTTTCAATTTAAAATTTTTTTTGTTTTATGAATATGTTAAACTTGAATGAATTAAAATATTCTGTTACCTTCTTCTTTTTTCTAAGGGTTATGTCTTGTCATTATTATTTAAACCAAATATACCGATCTTGACCAATTTTATTTGATGTCTTATTATTTGTTCCACCTATGTGTAACATAATGCTTTGAAAATAGATGTTCTATGCCTTCCTATGGTTTTTACGTATAACATTTCATTCTAAAATAGTAAAGTCACTATTTCATAAGATATATAAGTAATTTTACTTATCTGTAATATATGTTCTGTATGAATGTCCTCTTTACATTTATTTTTCTGTTCACATGAAGTTATCAACACATGTTTATTTTTACTCACATTTAAAAATTATTTAGAAATGTCAAAAATGAGTGAATTTTTTCTAAATTAGTTTTATATAACAAATCTTTAAGTGTACTTTTGAATAATTAAAAAAAAAACATTTGTATCCATACTTGAATTAAAAAAACATCAAAAATTAAAAGACAAAAAAATGAATTTAAAAAAAAAATTTTGTACATACTTCTGGGAGTGTTTTATTATTTTTATTAATATTTTAATGAATGTATTAAAGCTTATATATTACAGTGATAGTATATCAATTTAGGCGATGATATGGAAAGGTACTACGTTCAAACAAATCAATTTTTCATTTTTTCATAATAAATATAATTAATATATATTCTAATAATTTAGTAAAAAACTAAATCAAATTTCTATATTGAATAAATATTATGTTAAAAACAAAATACACTCATTATAAGTCTATACAGTTTAGATAAATGGTTTTTTCTGTCTTTGGTAAAACTTAGTTTTTTTAATTTACCATTGACTCAATTAATTAATAATTTTTTTATATTTGTTTATAATTTAATAAAAATTATCAATTAAAATTAAGGATATCAGTCAATGTAGTAATAAATTACTCAGTATTAGAAACATTTTGAACTGGTCTATTATTCCATAAATTATTGATGTATTAATAGCTGTACTCATGTTTCTATCAACAATGGACTTTTAAATTATATTTATTTTTCAGTATTTTAAAATTCAAGAAAATTATATAAATTTAATGCACGCCTATCAACAAAAAGAAAGTGAATTAGAATCCTATAGAAGACTCCTAGAAATGCATGGAATTTGGGTAAGTTATTTTGCTTAGTAGTGTCTTCTTATTGAAAATTATAGTATTATTTTTATTATTATTTTTTTAAATTTGGTTATTAATTAGAAATTTAAATAATATTTAGAGAATTAATATCATCTGTACTTTTTCAGAATGATCCTCAACCAGAAACCTCATATTCACAGCAAACTAATATTCAACAACAACCACAAACATTAGACAACAGTGAGGTTTATCAACTACAAGAACATCAACATCAGCAGTTTCAACAACTTCAGCAACAACAATATCAGCAAGAGCAATATCAGCAAGAGCAACAACAAGATCAGTTACAAAAAGAGCAACATCAAATGCTAGAGCAGCAAGAACAGCAACAGCAAATTCAAGAGAAACAACACTTGGCTGAATTATTCAGAAACGATTTGAACGTATAGACAATTGAAATTTTTATTTAAATCGTTTTACCAGAATTTCTATAGAAATTAAAGTTTTTATACATATATTACCATATATACCAACTGCATGATTTTATAGTTGAATTATATTCTGTTGAATGAAAGTTTAAATAGAATATTACTAAATATGTCCTTTTATTAGATGTATTTATTGTAAGTATTTATTGTGTTTTAATTTATTAGTGGTAATTTTGTTTATTTATTTTTTGTTAAAATTTTATTGGTTATTTCCGTCCGCTTTTGCAAATTACTACACGAGTTCAATATATTGCCATCGCAACTTCGCGGATTGTCAATTGAATTTAATTACAAATGGCCTGACATATATTAGGCGACCTCAGACCACTTTCTGAGGTGATGATAAAAATAAATAAATTGAGCGCCCTAACAAACAGCGTTTTTGTACTAACACGCCACACACATCATTTAATTGTCCTGTCAAATACTTGGTATATTTTTTTCGTTGTTTACCACGGCCATTATCACCGTGCATAGTATTCGACGGATCAAAGACTTATATGACCACACGTATAAAATATTAAGTAACTGTTAAAATTTAAACATATTTGTCAGATATTAAGCACATTATAAATTTGTATGTGAGTGCAAGGCTAATTAATTATGTTCAATATTAAATTTTTTGCTATCATTAATTAGAATATAATTTTTTTTTTTTAATTTCACTAAAGCTATTAAAACTATATTTTATGTGATATTTACGTATTCTGACTATTAATAACGTTTAATAGTATTGTGTATATGAAGAATTTTTTTTTTTGTAAGGGAATGTGACATTTTTTATTTCTTGAAATCTACGCGGCATCCTAAAACCTAAAGTATTCATATCTCTTCTCTCTGAAAAAAATCGATGCCTACCATAATTTATTACTTGAAATTTTTTGGAGGGACGGGGTTGTTAAATCTCAGGATACTTCCTTTAAATATACTACTGATAAGGTTTTCATTTAGCATTTTTAATATGCTCTCCCAAACAATTTTCATTAATTCATTCTTTAACAAGTATTTACAAATCATCGATAATACAATTAGTTTTATTTAATTATCAACCTTTATTTAACAAATTGTTTATACAATCATACCAGTAATCAAGAATATTATTAACGTTTATTGACATAATGAAATTCTACTAAATAGTAATTTTATAAATACAATTTTTTTACACCAGACTACAGTCACATAATGTGTCATTATTATTATTATATTTTTATAAAATTATTACTGTAAATAAATGTTACTTTTTAAGTATTTATAATAAAAAATGTAGTTCTATTGTTAGTGATTATGTATATTATTATAATAAAAACGATAGATACTTATAAAAATAATAACTGGCATGTCAGTTAATATTTTCAATTCGACTGAAAATTGGTGAGCTATAAAAATTTAATATAATTAACAGTTAAGAATTGCTAACACATAATTTAATCAATTAAAAATACAAAACACTCTCACTGGTCGTTTACAAAATTTCAAGGATACTTCAATAATACTTGTTCTCTATAATAAAAATATATTATAGGCGTAGGATGTTTTGTTCTTAACAAATTATAATTACGAGGTCGTTTTGAAGTATCGACGGTAAAACAGAATTACAGCTACTTGGAATATAAATTCAACTTAAAATATTTGTTAGATATATGTTTCTGCTATACGAGTATAAAAATGATTATCTATATAGTTATAAAAACTTAAACTCCGGTATTTTTACCACTCTCTATGAACAATTATTTTTTAGTGAAAATTGGTAAATTTTTCAATGTATGACGTTGATACTTAAATATGAACAAAAATATTCAGTCTGTAAATTATACTTCCTTCATCCTCTAATTTTTAACTTCAAGCCGGCTGTTTTACACCACCCAATTGAATAGTAAAATTATACGTTTTTCATTTTAGATTTGTAACATGGATTTTACTCAAAGAGAGTTTAAAAATAAATANTTGATACTTAAATATGAACAAAAATATTCAGTCTGTAAATTATACTTCCTTCATCCTCTAATTTTTAACTTCAAGCCGGCTGTGTTACACCACCCAATAGTAAAATTATACGTTTTTCATTTTAGATTTGTAACATGGATTTTACTCAAAGAGAGTTTAAAAATAAATGTCACCCTCTCTTCACGTTTTACTTTCAAACGTTTATTCTCATAACTATAGTGAAATTTTTAAACCCCATGTGCTGTTCGAATTTAGTAAATTATTTACCACAATTCGTAAAAAGATTTAGTTGTTTGTGTCATCTGAAATCAGCAAAAAATAACATTGATCCTAGAAAATTGTCAATTTTGAACGAATAAATATAATTAGTATTGAATGTCTCATAGACAGGAATCGTGTAGTTTTTTTTTTTTTAATTTGTCGCTATGTTTTTTGGTTACGCTATTACTGAGAGCCCCCTCCCCCAAAAAAAAAAATAGTATCGTTATTCGTTATCTTGGAGTTCGAGAATCATCTTAAAAAATGAAAAGTATACATTAGCGAGCTGGTACACGAATATATGCCACAGGACATAATTTGTCAATGTTATCAATATTATAATTTTTTCAAGACTATAACATCCCGGGGTTTAAAAAAAAAATAAAGATTTATTTTGCTCAATAACTGATGCGTGGGCCTTCAACTCGCAGTCGACAGTTATTATTGTTATTTCTTATTATTATGGTTGTTAATGGTAATTATGATTACGTGCCCAAAAAAGATGTATTGGCTTCGGCTTATCTGACCCTCATTGTTCGGTGATCATAAAATGGTTTTTAGGAGTGGCTGTGTAGTGTGCACCGTGTCGATAGTTGGGTCTCGACGAACACAAAACACACTCAAGGTCAACGTCGTTCTTAAGGTACGTACGAGCAAATGCGACGTTGGAGAGTGTAGTGTAACCCTTTTCGTTATTTCCTACTAAATGTAGACTAGATAATGATTTCGAAACCCCATGTAAAATTATAAGAAATTAAAGATAGTTAAAAACTCGACATTGTGAAAATAATAACGACAAAACTTTCTGTACTATGGAAAATATGACTGTTATAACGGTGTTTACATCACAATTGTCGTTTGAGGAAAATTTTTGTAGCGTGACTGCCGCCGAGACATTATAAGTTTTTTATTTCTTCTATTGCTAAAGGTTATAATTTTAAAATAAAGTCATGAAAGAAATGTTATTCTGGTAACGCACCGCTGGGTAGAAGAGCGGTGTAAAATTTTAGTAAACACGAAACACAATAAATGTTCCTAACATAAACCAATACTTCCTCGGGACCCTATCGAAGCTAAAAATTGATAACTCGTTCAGACCACAAACAAGGGCAAAAGTTAATACTGAAATAGAATCTGCTGTAAACATCAAATAGTCGGAGTACACAAATATTAACATGCGTCCTTGGCCTTTCGATGATATCACCTCCTCGACGGCGGCACATAAAAACTCGGTATACGCCACTGGAAAAATACGGTCGTGGTGAAACAGAACGCCGAATCACAGGCAAAAGAAATAAAAAGTAAACGCGTTTCAGAGTCACGGTAACGATGGTCGCGGTGGTGCGTGAAGCAGTAGCGATCAGCTGAGCGGTCGCGGTCGAGGCAACAGCTGTCCGACCGGCGTTGTCGGCGCGCGGTGGTTTCCCGGCTGTAAGCCGTTGTCATCCCGGCATTCAAGTTCAGTATACGGCCAACAGCGGTCCGGCGTGTTCCGTGCTGCGATGTCTGCTCGCCGGGAAGTAGTACGGTTGTCGGACGTATTCAGGAAGATCGCCGGCATGTGGCACGGTCAGGATGCATTGGTCGCGTCCGATGGCAAAGACGGCACGCTGATTACAGGTCAGTTGTAGTACGAGCGAATCCTACACTCGACTGTATGCGATGGCATCCCCCCCCCCTCCCGTTCACTCGTAATCGCTATTAACACTCAAAAACCGTTTTCCTTACGTTGTATGAATAATACATTGTCCCACCCTTGCCAAGAACGAATTGACACGATAATATAATTACATTGTCTGGTGTCGTACAACCTGTCGGTCGCGGAGGGTGGGCGGCCGGGGCACAACAATAGAATAACAACGCTGCACAACTACCAATCGCTTTACCCGTTGAAATTAAAAATTAAACAATGTTTCAGCGAAGGGTTTCTTTCTTCTTATCGGAATCGGTGTAAATGAAAGCCATAACGTTTATTTGATTAAAGTTGTGGCAAAAATTACGTTTTTTATCAAAACGGCTCATTCGGACACCGTTAACTATAAAATGGTTTAAATATTCGTTCGGAATATTTAATAGTTTATTGTTGGAACATTTCAGCATGATAACCGTGTAAAGCAAAATATTAACGTAGTTTTGTCGATGGAATCGACAAATCCGTAGAACATTAAAGAAAAATTGCTCGAATACGAGTGATTTGACGTGTACTAGATTTATCTTGTACTAGTAAAACAATGAGCTCCGACAACAGTACACGGTATGGTTGTTTACGGTTGTCCCGAGAAAGAATAGAGAGAACAATCGCGGAAAAAAATTTCGTCGTGAAGAAAAAAGTACTGCGAGTGGTTTCAACAGTCGGTAATATTGAATCGGTCGGAGCGTTTTGAATAAATCAAACGCGCAGCCGGTTTCAAGACCGGCGAGAGAAAAACAAGCGAGTCGGCTTGGCCATCGAATCGAGTGTCTTATGGTTCAAGTGGTAGTGTTGTCGTATGCCGTTTTTAATTACTGTTTGTAATTGTAGTGTCATGTACAGCTTTTGTGTTGCGCGCCGCCTCTGTTTTGTCCGTGAACAGCTGCGGCGATTCTGACGGACGGGTTAAAAAATTCTAATTCGATCGTCCTATTGTTTCAAACTCGCGCGGATTGATGGACATTGTGCGCGTTTTGGCCGGTCTGGTAATTTCGCGTGCTTGAAATTAGCTTCCTTCACGGGCCATCAGCCGGTGTATAATTACAGGTGAAATTATTTTTTCCACACTCTCTTTGTTGTCGATCGGCCACGCGTTTTGTTGTGGAGAATTAACGCGAATTTCGCGTTTCATTGTGTTTAATGTGCACTGACAACGAAACTTCCTGACATTTGTGTCGGCCGAGCTATCTTTTTTAAATAGTACGTATAAAACACCGCGTGTTCATAAAACATTGAATATAAAAAAACGT